CTTCAAGTCGTCCATTTAGTATGGGCACCTTCATACAAGTAGAATTTCATAGTGGGCGTTTCATAGTTTCATTTAAGGCGAAAAAAACCGAACGGCAAAAAAGGGGGGGTCGTACCGAACCCCCAAAAAAAGGGGGGGGGGTCGTACAGGCTCGACCAAAATCCCCATCGAATGCTGTGCCCTGCTCTCGCTTGACTTACGAACATTGCTGGGGGGGGGGGGGAATCCCATTTTAATACGGTGGCTTAGTAGGACCCCAAATCACTGAGTGATACGATCGAGCTCTCGAGATGGGAGGTTACATAAACATCTGAGAGAAGAAATAACCGCTCTCTGCAGCGGCAAAGCTACATCTGAGAGAGAAAAAAACTCTCGCACGGCAAGTATCGCCCCCCTCCCCTTCTGCCAACAATAGAGCCAAATGCAACTCCTCTCCCCATTTATTGGCGACATCCCTTTAGCATGATGTGCCCTGCTGCCAGCGCATGTCCTTGGGAGAGGTTTCGAGATAATGGGTGGGGAGCAAAGATGCAGAAAGGCAGAGGCAGCGAGACAAGGGACATCGATAGAGACAAGGCAGAGAGCGGAAGTTTGCTATCTCCCCCTCGAGGGGAACTGATTGCATACAGTCCCAGTGCTTTGAAAGGGCTATCGAATCCGGCGCTGATCGGCCAGCCGTTTGCAAGAGAGAAGAAAACGAGTTTACCAAAACTGCGTGATTAGGCAAGGTTCCTTCTTAGATCCTATGAACTCTTTTCGCATGTTAGAGCGGTCGGCGCCGAGGTCCTAAGGCCAAATTAAATACTCAACCCCTTTAATGCGTCAGATTTGTGGTTTTCTCTTGCGCTCTCTCTGCCTGAGTGGGTGATTTGTTGGCCACTTGACCTTCACATTCCATACTTTTTCATTGGCGCATACTAGAGTGGCTCATACACCCCGGTGTCCCTGGCCCGTTCACAAAGCTCATTTCGTTGGCTCGCATAATGTTTTTCTATCTCACGGATGCTTGCTGTAGCACTCCCGGATTATTGCTCTGCGGCTCTGTCCTATTGTGCAGGACCCCACCAAAGGTTTAGTTGTCCGTACCCGGCGCTGATCGGATGCTTGTTCATCTTGGCTGCGTCCCAGATCTACCGTCTCGCCTATCGCTGTCTCACAGCATTGGATGTCTACATAATGGGTAGCTGAGCGTCTGTGGCGCATCCCCTCGTAGTATCTTTGCGCAGGAGTAACTGATCCACGATCAACTCGAACACATCGGACTTCGAACCGAGTAACTCTTCTACGCCTTGCCTGCCATAGAGTCCCGCGACCATTGTAACAAGTTCCCCTTTCCTCCTACTATGTACTAATCGCTATGTGTGTGTGTGTGTGTGTGTGTGTGTGTGTGTGTGTGTGTGTGTGTGTGTGTGTGTGTGTGTGTGTCACGAAATTCATAGCGAGCGTCGCAGAAAAGATAGGATGACAGTTCCAAGAAGTGATATACATGGCAGGACGGGAACACTTTGGGTGGTGTCAGGAGGTGATAACACTTGATAAGATTCGATAAGGGGCCTTAGAAGGGGAGGGTGACCGAAATCGTAGCGCAATTTGCAGCAGCTGCAGGACCGTGATTTCAAGGAGTGATATACATGGCAGGACGGGAACACTTTTGATGGGTGACAGGAGGTGATAACACTTGATAAGATTCGATAAGGGGCCCTAAAAGGGGAGGGTGACCGAAATCGTAGCGCAATTTGCAGCAGCTACAGGACCGTGATTTCAAGGAGTGATATACATGGCAGGACGGGAACACTTTTGATGGTAAAGTGCAGGGTGATGAACCAGCTTGATAGATTCGCGTCGAGTATAGGGGCCTTAGAAGGGGAGGGTGACCGAAATCGTAGCGCAATTTGCAGCAGCTACAGGACCGTGATTTCAAGGAGTGATATACATGGCAGGACGGGAACACTTTTGATGGCGTGGAAGGCGGATATATACAACTTGATAAGATAGGCGATAATGGATCCTCTAGAAGGGAGGGGTGACCGAATCGTCAGCGCAAGTTGCAGCAGCTTGCGGTGGACCGGATATCAAGCGAGTGAATATATCAGGCAAGGACGGGAACACTTATTGATGGGTACTAGGAGGTGATGACTAGCTGTGTTAAGATTCGGATAAGGGCCCGTAAAGGGGAGGGTACGCCAATCGTGGCAAGTATGCAGCACGGCGGGACCATGATTTCAAGTTACTGGATTAGCCGTAGAAGGGGCTGGCAAGAAGCTATAAAGTTATAAGCTCTGGTTATAGCGGTCTCGGAAGAGGAGGGTCAATGCAGATTTCGCAACGCAGTTCACGAGCACCCAACGCAAACAGTTGACCTCTGATCCGAGAGGCGATACAGGGTGATATGATAGTGATACGGGACGGGAGTGTTATTGGCGGGTACGGAAGTGATAGGAGCTAAAATTGACAAGGTAGCATGGGAAAATCCGCTTCACCGCTCACAACAACAATGCGATCGATATGACTCAAGTATAACGATCTCAGTGATTCCAACAGAACTCATTCCTCACTGCTTATTAGTAACGACATCGTGTACGACCTAAGTAGCTCTATTTCGAAATGGCATGTTGTTTGTTTTACAGAGATGTTTATGAGCATCAGCAACTGAACTTTATCAACTCGTTACCCGACAATTATCTTCCATTCAGCGATTCAGTGAGGGCCATTTAAAGGGTTCCACTGCTGAATGCGGTGCATAAATTATAGGCTGCTTCAGTGGCTGTCCAAACAGGCTGCACTATTTCCGTGTAGGTTATGAACGTACCAGTCGGATCGCTGGCTAAGGCCGGCTTTCCTCCTTCTGTGATGCGGGGGGGAGGCGCTGCTGCTGCTTCTGCGCTTGACGGAAATAAGCGCTTGCTTTTTCATGTTTCTTAGCTCATGCAGAAGATTCCTTTGAATAGTTGTTGTCAACCATTCCTTAAACTTAGCACGCGAGCGCGCCGGCTACAGTCCGGGCGAATCCGACTGGTTCGTGATAAGAGATGATGTCCATTGTTCAAAAGTAACTCTTTAGTGAATTCTTCACCGGTCTGCGCTAGAGCTTCGCTGCAGGCCATGGTAGAAGCTTCAGATGGTAGTACCCGAAGAAACTCTCACAATGGGTCCAATCTGGTGGTGCACTGTGAACGTGTGGGTAGAAGGGTTGGAAGAATGGGCGTCCGCGCCCTACTTTCAGCATGTTCTAAACCCTGCTAACGAGCCTTCGCATGGATTCAGCTGGCTCTTTACCTCACCGATCATCAGACATAGAAAGATTCTCATTACCGTTGCCGCAATGACAGCGACTAGCTCAAATCGGTGGAATCTACCTAACTTGAGATCTACAATATTAGTTGAGGAACTCCAGTCCACATCAAAACAAGTGTTCTCACCTGACAACCATGGCACAAAAAACAACAAATTCTGTCTATAACCGACGCTTTTAAGGCTTTGGTGACTGTTGCCATACGAAATTTGTACAGAGAACGACCTGCAGTTTGGAATCGGTCGGCCAGCTCTTCTGTAGACGGTGTATACCTGAAACACCATACACATTCGGCTTGCCAGTGACAGTACAACGAAAAATATTTATGGTGTTCAAAAATCAATGGCCATGTATCGTATTAATGCTACTGTGCTTGTAAGTTAATAATCAGAATAAGGCTTTTGTTTTCTTCAAATAGTTCCTGTTCAGGCAGTGAAGAAGTGGTGGAGTCAAGTAAGAATGGTTGACGGCATTGGAATGAAGGCTATCTTCAGAGCTCAGCATGCACAGAGCACAATCAGTTACTTTCACGCAGGGTCTGATGCGCTTCGTTCCTCTCTCCTTTGGAATGAGGGACGAGGGGTGGTGTGAGAGAGCGCCAATTGGTGATGGCTGGCCATTCCGCTTTTCTCATTCTGCACCGCCATTCTGCAGCAGTTAAGGCGCAGCATTTTATACTTCTATCCGACATCTACTATACCGCAATTATTCATCTTGGCCTGAAGCACGATTCAAAATGTAATACTCGAGAGTAGTCGAGCAAATGAGCTGTGTCTCTATTTAACTTTGCGGCAGTGGTCTACCAGTGGTTCTACCGCCGCCACTGAGCGTTGAGCGTCCGGCCAGGATGCGCGACTGAAAGTATAGATACGATCTATGCGATTACCCAGCGTGCACCAAGCGCGAATACAGCTATCCCAGGCCCTCGAGGCTTGCGAACGCTGGGGAACGCTGGTGCATCCTGATAGTTGCTAGATCGAGGCCTATACTTTCCCAATCGCTGAGACTGCCGGACGCTCTAAACGCGTGTTGACGCTGGTAGACGCTCGTGGACGCTACCGCAAAGTATGAACGCAGCCCAAGGATTGTGCATTCGTTGGTGTCGCGAAGTATGAACGTTGCCTGAGCACGCTGAGGAGGGGACGCTCTCTCCGAGAGAGAGAGCCCAGACAAAGGGAAAACAGCCGTCGCGGATTGCCCCCTGACTCTCTTAGCCCTCTTTCTTTTGAACACTGACGAGATTCCAGACATGGTTGAATTTGTTCAGATGGCATGGGCAACCACACAATTCGTGGGATGTGCAGTATCAAGGCGTGAGCTGTGCGGGAACATGTGGTATATCGCTTGTCATTACAAGCCCTGGGTAAAACTTCACCAATGTTTCCGTTGGATGATACGTACTTGATTTCCTCATTCATTCCCTCTTTCTCTCAGAGGAAATGTCGTTGGATCCACGGTCTATGAACCAGGAACTTCATGCTCAATGTGTTCTGTAGGACATTACTGTGATATGCAAAAACTATGTGTACCAACGTCTTCTTCCAAGTGATACGATTCGTTCAGGCGCTCGGCTAACAATGAATAAAGATGTCACAGTGTCACAGTAACGACCTCATGCCCCACACAAATGGAAAATAGAATACGCAGCGACATCATGAACGCGTTGAACCCGTTGCAGTAACACTTTATCATGGGATTGCTGCATTGTTCAGAGTTTACGACTATCTACAATCTGCTTATAATATGCACTGAATCCTTTGTCGCTTTCGGTGTAGTCGGAGTAGAACGTGAGGAATAGACTCTGCTGGGTTGAGTAGTACGTCGTATTGACGACTGAACTGCCAGAAAGTCTGAAAATCCAGAAGAACTTTTTGGAAGCAGAATCCTCGATAACTGGTGGGCGGGAAATGGGTGGGGACTGAACGCCACTGCGCGTTCCTCACCGGTGCATTCTTCCTTCCCACCATTTTGGAAGGAGAGGCATATATTGAGGGACACACAATGGTTCGGAATCTCCGCCCTTTTGACTGTCACGGAATGTGACCTCAATTAGAGGACGAGGGCACGATGGGTGGGGCGGGTGTTACAGCCAACGCCATTGGTGGAATGTCTGCGAGAAGGCGTTTGGCCACACCACCCTCAGCTCTTCGACTAGTGACGTTGGGAGTACCGTCCGCCCCCAGCTATTGTGCCCTTTGCGAAATGTGTGGTAGACAAATCTACTAGGTTCGAGAAACTCACACAGCCAACTTCGGATAGGTGGCATTTGGTCCGTCGTAGATTTCCACTTTATCGCAGCATGCCTCTGTCGAGAACGCCACAAACGTCAACACCAGCCTGCTTACAAAGAAGTTCTCAACCGGAAACTATTAAAAGATGGAAATTCGGACGCTGTCTCACTTCAGGAGGAGTGAGGGGGTGACACTCTACACTCTCATTATTTCCTTTTGCTACTTTCTGCCAACATTGTCCTCACCCAGACATTCATTGGACTTTACGGGGTAGCCTATATAACCTACGCTGGGCACCAGTCGGTACCCCCACCAAGCTGTTGTGCGCCTAAAAGCGCTCATGACAATCGAGGGTTTCGATGCCCTAGACGCCATATGTTCCTCTGAAGCGAACACAGCGAATGAGTACTATGTTTAAGGGCACGGTTAGACCAAAAGGTGAGTGCGCGACGCTTTTTAAGGAGAGGGCCCGAAAGTTACTGTTGTTGACCTATATAATGACTTTTAATCCAGTAGGCTGTGGGCCGTTACATCGACGTTGTGGTGCTTCAACAACGTTGTAAGCGGCGTCGCTCGCGTGCAAGCCAGAGAACCTGTTCAGACCAATTTCGTGGGCCCACGATGGCACCAACTGGTGGAAAGAGCCGCTCAGGTTGCGCTCTAATCCACGCCCATACGCCTTCGTTTCCAGGGATGATGGCAGGTGTCTAGTAAGGATTTAGAAATTAGTTAATATAACCCGATTTTGCAGCTCAAAGTTCCGAAAGTTGACATACCTCCCTTTAGGCATCGTCATCAGGTAGTTGCAGGTGATGTCATTTGGGTAATTGGATGGCCAATTGGGCGACGTCACAAACCCAAGTCCCGATGTGAACAGTCCCGACTGACATGTGCTTGGCTCCGAGTACTGAGTGTCTTCTGAAAAAGCAACACCTGATCAACAACATAATTAATCCATCGGTTCCTGACTCATTGAAGCTCCCGTCACGTCCCCATGAGAAACCCATAGGGAGGCGCGAGCAGCTGCGAAGCGTGCATTGGAAAATTAGGATACTGAGTGAGTTTGTTGGAACTTTACGTAAAAAAATTCCTAACTTTGAACCATTTCATAGTGAATGGCAAATCCACGCTCCTGTCCAGTGATATCGGTATTAAATAGTAATGTCATTATAGATCCAGAAGAGCTGAATGTCATTCCCGTAGCATCTCCAGACACACTAAAAATCTTGCTTGACCAAAGGATCAGGTTAAAGTCTAAAGGGAGAAACGAACTGGAGCAAAGAATTCTATCGTGGTAACTAACTTAGCAAGCGTGGCTGCTGAAGTGTCTGCTCCATCCCAGATGTACAGCTTGTCACAACAAGCCTCAGTCTCGAAGTCATAGAGCGTGAGGTGAACGAAATAGCCAGGATCGACCTGTGAAAGTCCATACATCATGATTAATTTATTCATATGTTTCCACAGCCATCATCCCTGCAAACGACAATGCGTGCGGATTGGAACGCAACCGGGGCGGCCTTTTCCCGACAGTGATGCCATCCTGTGCCTGCTACAACTGGTAGGAAATCCGCCTAGGCTGCGCCCTCAGCTACCTCCCCGTCATACACCCTATCATTTGCAGGGAGAAGGAGATTGAGCACTGGAAGCTCTAATCAGAGGACCCGCGTCGAGGTGGCCAGCAGAAATCCAGCTCGCATTGCGTCACGTGTACTTCGCTGCGGACCCTGGAGGGTACCAGGCAGAGGAGCTGAGTTTGGCGCGCGCCAGCCTGTTTCTCCTCGCCCCCAATCGAGGTCGTTCGGGGAGACGGCCAAGGCAATCGTACATTTTCACTCCGTCGCGTGCGGCGCTAGGCGCGGCGTTATCGATTACCATTATCTGGCCGATTAGAGCACCGGATTTCTCGTGGACTACGACATAGTAGATATTCATGGCTACCCTTAGGCTCTACATCGCCTATTGTCGCCATCCGCGGTCCTGGAGACATCGTCATTTCTTACTCAACCTCGCACACGACGCCCAAGGATGGAGAACACGCTGGCGCTACGATAAACGCAACCCTCTGGACACCCACAGCGTTCGCAGCGAACAAGACCATAACGGCTGTGAGGCTCCGCCGATTTCAACGCTCCCGTCGTGAACAACTAGGACTGGTTTGAATGGCGTACGCAACGCCCCCAACGCAACTTTCGCTGCACCACCGCACGCTCCTGCACAGCATCCTCAGCAAAGACAGTTGGGAACGTTACTTCACCCATGCTCTGACAAACGATGGTATCCATATAGTCATAGGTGAGCCCTGCAAGGTGTCCGTAGTCAGGAGGCCTTCCCTTGTTTGCACATAATGCTGTCTACTCTAGGTATGGTCCCCCACAAATCCTATCCGCAGCCTCATCGTGGCGTGGGGGTGAACGGTTTTGGACTGTTCCAAAAACGTACCAATGCGGAGGGTGCCACGTCAGAGCCTGGCGAGCTACGCGTGGTCAAATTTCTCCGAAAACAGACAAC